CATATTCAATAAGGGACTACACAGACTATATGAAGCATATTCAAAGCTCAACAGTTAAGGAAAGAAAGAGCCCCAAAGAAAAACAGGCAAAAGTCATTTAAAGTGCTGTTTAAAGACACTTCAAAAAGAATGGATATATAAATGGCAAACACAGAAAAAGATGCTCATTCAAGATCATTAACCATTAAACAAGCCATTAAATGAGATATCACTACACTTATTAGGATGGCTAAAATATATATACTGACCAGTAGGTACAGCAACTTGAAGCTCATATACTTGTAATGGGAATGTAAAATGCCATAACTACTCTGGGAAAGTTTAGTAGTAATTTTCTAAAGTTAAAACATTCACAATCCATATTGTCTAGGAATCCCATTTCTAGGTATTTTAGTAAATAGAGAGATGAAATCTCATGTTCAAACAAAAGTCTGTTCACAGTATCACTATTTATAATCATCTCAAATTGGAAACAACTGAAATGTCCTTTAACATGTACATCCACACAATGGAATACTGCTCAACAATAAAAAGAAATAAGCTATTCATACACAACATGTATGAATCTTAAAGGTACTGTGCTGAGTGAAAGATTTCAATCTCAAAATATTACATACTAAATAATTCCATTTATATGGCATTCTGGCAAAGGCAAAAGTGCAGTGATGGAGAGTAGATCAATGGTTTCCAGGGTTAGGAGTAAGGAGAGAGTAAGGTGACAAAGAGGGGCAGGAGTAAGAAGACAAAGTGTTCTGTGTCCTGATTGTGGTAGCTGCTAGAATGTAAACATGGATACAGAAAAAAGCCAATTTTGCTTCAGACCAACTTAAAAAAATACAATTTTATAGACACAATGAAAGCAAATGAACAGAACTTTCAACTCAGGATGTCAGATGAAGAACATTAAAAGAGAGAATAAAATAAAATCAGAAACAACAAAAATAGGGGCGGGTGTTCGGTGCAGCAGTTAAGATACTATCACTTGGGAAAACCATGTTCCATATTAGAGTATGTGGGTTCCAAGTCCTGGCTCCACTTCCGATTCCAGCTTCTGCTATTATACACCCTGGGAGGCAGCAGAAGATGGCTCAAATTCTTGGGTATTTGCCTACCACATGGGTGACCCAAACTGAATTCCAGGCTCCTGGCCTCAGCCTGGCCCAGCCCCAGCTGTTGTGGACATTTTTTGGGGAGTGAATCAGTAGATCCAAGATTGATCTCTCTCTCTGCCTTTAAACTAAATAAATATTTTTAAAAAGATACCATAAAACCATTTGTTAAAACCTCATGTGACTTGATTTTGAAACAAACAAAAGCCTTCCAAACTAGAGATAGAGACTCTCCTGAACTTTATGAAAGTAGTCTACCAGAGACCTAGAGAGACTTACATACTGAGTAGAGAAACATAAGCAGTACTACTTTAAAGTCAGAAACAGCACAAGGATGCCCCCTATCTCCACTATGACAGCACTGTAATAAAACTAGAAAAATCATTAAGTATGAATATAGAAAGAAAGGGGATATTAGGGCCTGACCTGTGTCCTATAAAAATCTGTATGCTAAAGGCCTAATCCCGCAAAACCCAAGAGTGTGACTGCATTTGGGGATAAAGCCTTTAAAGAAGTAATTAAGTTAAAATAAGGCTGGGTGTGGTGGTGGCGGCACTAATCCAATCTGACTTCTGTCCTTACAAGAAGACATTAGGATGCACAGAGATACAATAGGGACACATGCACAGATGGATGATCACATGAAAAGGCAGCAAGAGGGATGTTATTTGTAAGATAAGGAGAGAGGCTTCACTGGAAACCAACTCTGCTGATACCTTGATCTTGGACTTCCAACTTCCAGAACTGTAAGGTTATAAACTTCTCTTGTTTAAACTGCACAGTCTACGGTATTTTGTTATGGCAGCACTATCAAACTAAAACAGAACAAATACATCAACTAGCTCAAGAACTCAAGACAATTACGAAAAAACTTAATAAAACTAGTAAGTATATAGTAAGGCAGTCCAATACAGGATCAATATGGAAAGAAAATAATTTGCCTACATACTTAGGAAAGCCAAATAGAAAATGTAACACATAAAAAGATGTCACTTTTAATAGCAACCAAAATAAAATACCTAAGAATAAACTGAAGAAGAAATAAACCAAGGAAGAGATATATGAGGGGGTCTTCAAAAAGTTTATAGAAAATGTATATTATAAAAAAGCTGTTCAGGGATTTAAAATTTTTTTTGCATCAAAATAAACAATTTTTAATTCCAACTTCCATGAACCTTTTCAAATGCCCTTGTACAAGAAGACCTGAATAAATTGAGAGATAGCTCATTTGTGAAGACAGAAAGACAAGATGACCTATTTTGTGTCTGCTTAAACCCAAAAGGTAAATAGGGGAACGACGTCAATGCTGTCCAGAAATTGTACTATTTCAAAAGCAATTTTCTCTGGCATACTGTTTCTAACCAATCCATGGTGGACTTTCTCAAAACTACAAAGAAAGCCTTAATAATATATGAAGATGTACAAAGATCCTGCAATTGTGCCACCTATCAGTGAAAGAGCAACTACTGGCTCTGTTTTCTACAAAATTAAGTTCTGATGGGATAGGAGACTGGTTAAAAGAGGAGATGAAAAAACTGCAAAGACATTTCCCCCCGTGTTTAAAAAATTGATGAAGACTAGACACTGGGTCAGATTTTAATTCAATTTTTATTTGATGAAGTTGATATGCATTTTAGGCAAATGCTTTTAAGACTCCACTTCTGGAAGGAAAAAGCCTGAGTCCAGGGTTTAAGACTCCAGTGATTGTGATCAGAGTAAATGCCAATGGCCTTTAATTGGACAAGTTAGGACTATTCATTATTTGGGTCAGCGTTTTGGCTTCAAAGGCATATACATTTTGAAAGATACGCCCCTAATCTCTTTTTCTTGTAAACCCTATTACTTTTACCACACAAATTTTCAAGATATGTGATTTTTCAGGAATGTATATACCCCATTATAGCAGAGGGGCCTCCAATAAAAGATGTCATTCTCCATAAATTAATCTATAAATATTATATACTCTTAAATCTTGAAATCTCAATTAAATTATTCGCTAATTCTAAAATTCACCTGGAATAGAAAAGGCTTAATACTAGCCTAGAAAATTTGAAAAAATAAAGACAAGTAGGGAGCTCTCTCCTTGTTAAACTGCCTTTGCAGTGTTGCTGGGCAAAGCAGGAAGGAGAAGGAGGAAGCAGAGGCTGAGTAAGCTGTTTTTTCTAAGAGGATTGGCTAAACCAGGTCCAGATGTCTTGGTTGCAGCTTAATGTGATTGGCTGCTGAAGGAAGAGTAGGTGGCCAGAAGAATGCCCCTAAGCCCAATCACAGCTTAGTACAGAGATGATGGGTTTGTTGAGCATTGTGCTCAAATCCAAAGTACATTCAGCACAAGGGATTAGCTGTACCAGACACAAGGCCTGTGGTAACTAACCTACCTCGTACTGCCATAGGAATAAACAAATTAATTTTATGGAACAGAATAATATTAATAATATCTAACACACAGTGCTTACTATATGCTGGGAAATGCTTTAAATGCTTTTTGTATATGTAATCCTCATAATAACCTATGAGGTAGGTACTATTATCAAAAAGAGGCATAGAGAGATTAACTAGCTTGGCCAAGGTCATGTACCCATTAAAACACAGAACTGAGGACTACAGTAAAAAAACAAATCCACATATAAACAAATATGGGAATTTATTTTATGACAAAGGCAGGACTTCAAATCAGGGAGACAATGGTGAACTATCAATAAATGGTATTGAGGTAAATGACTATCTGTGTGGAAAAAAATAAGGTTAGATTCTTACCTCCCATAATTCAAAAAACTTAATTCCCGATAAAGAACTAAAAGTTTGGGGCTGGCATTGTGGCACAATGAGATAAGCTCCATCTACAACACCGGCATCCCATATCAGAATGCTGGTTTGAGTACCATTATCTACGCATGTCTATATAAGGGAATAAACACAATAAAAGGAAAGTTATACATCAAATTACTAACAAAGGATGCCTTTGGACCCAGGTTAGAGTGTTAGTCACAAGAATTTTTTTTATCATGTTCTAATTTTGACCAATAACCTTGACCAAATAAATAACTTTTGATAATACTACCAAATTAAAAACCTCTCATCACCTGTATTATACAAAAAATTCTTTACACATTGCAGTTTCACTAAATCTTAGCTTAAAAATAAGGGCTCAGTTCCTAAACGTAAAATGCCCATGGAAAGGTCATTACAGTCATCCCTCAGAATCCACAGGGATTGGTTTGCAGAGGTCCTGTGGACACAAAAATCTGTGGCTGCTCAAATTCCTTATATAAAATGGTCTAGTCTTTGCACATAAGCTATACATATCCTCCTACATACTTAAAAATCATCTCTACTTATAAAATCTAATACACTGTAAATGCTATGCAAATGGTTGTCAAACTGTATTGTTTAGGGAATAATGATAAGGAAGGTCTGCACAAGTCCAGTACAGATGCAATTTTTTCCCCAACACTTGGTTGAATCTGCAGATGCAGAAACTGTGGATACAGAGGGCAGACTATATATACCTTTGCAAGGCATGAACTGCCAGATAACATAAATACAAGTTGTGGAAATAAAATAGGCCAGGAAAAAACCAAGAGTTACAAGCAATGAAAATTGGACAGTACTAAAAATTGATGATAGCTAATTATAACAGCTACCATTTCTTGAGGACTTCCCATAAACAAGACACTGTGCCAAGTGCTCTGTACAAGCATAGTCTTTAATTCTTACACAACCTGAGAAACGCCCCCATTTTACACATTAAGTAAACATGGCTCAGAGAAACTAACAGGCTTAAAGCCAGGCCTTTTGTGAACTACAGCCTGTCCTCTGTTGGGGCTGGGTTTGAGACTGGGGCTGAGGGGAGCCCTTCTGGCCTGGACCCACGTGCTTAGCTGCCCTTACTATACTCTGCGTCCTTGAAGCATGCTCCCAAGCTGTCCTGTTCATCCAGACTGGCGTTCTCCTCCTCCTCCTCGCTCTCGGTTCTCCAGTATGCTGGCCGCTTGATGGGCCGCTTCCCTGGGGTGCGCTGGGAAGCAGGACTGTTAGACACTGTGCCCAGCCCACTGCTGGAGCTCCCACTGCTTCGGTCCTGCCCCCCGGTCCACCAGGCCTGCAGGCTGGAGGTAGCCGGTGAGGACGATGAGGACTGCAGGTTGGCCATGCACAGCATGCCCTGGATAGCCTCCTGAGTGCTGGGAGAGGCTGGGGCCTCGCTGCAAGGGACAGAGGAGAAATGCTGAGGGAATTTCTCTAGTTGTCAGAGGAAGCCAGTCATCAGAATAATCAGGGTGGAGGGACAACAGCTGTGGGGATCAAGGAGGGAAGAAGAAGGGGGGGACCACTCAAGGTGATAAACTAGAAATCAAGCTAAAGGATCAAGACAGTATTAAAGATCGTTTTTATGAAAAGCCAGTCCCTCTTGTCTCAAGTGCCTCCATAGACAGTAGGCAAGATGGCAAAAACTAAGGAGCATACCTCCCACCCAGTTCACCCATGCTGCATTCTCTCCTTTTATTTTTAACTGTACTCCTTCCATGATTCTTCTAAACTCTCCCAATCTCCAAAGTTCCCCAAATTTATTTCCCTTGAAATCTGTATATCCTATCACTGTCAGATCTTATGCTCCTCAGGACAGGTTTCTTATCTACTTTATTCTTTCACCCCAAATGCCCTCAATAATTCTTTGTTCCTTTAAATGGCTCAAAACATATCTACTGATTGGCTGACCTAGCCCCTTGGGTGGGAGGGAAGAATGCTGTCTGATAGCATGGAAAGGGAAGACCAAAGCCAATACTCACGTGAGAGCAGCATAGTCAGGTCCCCCCACCTGCCTGCTGGCCTTGAGCAGATCAAGAATTCCACCAGCTCCACTTCCATTCCCAAGCTTGCTTTCAACCCCTTCCATCATGTCTTCATCTGTTGTGTAGTCCTCCTGTTAGGGAGAGAACATGTAATGTCAGTTGCCCAGAGTTCCTCTCACAAGGTTTTTTTTTTAATTTTATTTACTAAATATAAATCTCCAAAGTACAGGTTATGGATTATAATGGCTTTTTCCCCCCATAACTTCCCTCCCACCCACAACCCTCCCATCTCCCGCTCCCTCTCCCATTCCATTCACATCAAGATTCATTTTCAATTATCTTTATATACAGAAGATCAATTTAGCATATATTAAGTAAAGATTTCATCAGTTTGCACCCACACAGAAACAGAGTTTAAAGTACTGTTTGAGTACTAGTTATAGCATTAATTCACATTGAACAACACATTAAGGACAGAGATCTTACATGAGGAGTAAGTGCACAGTGACTCCTGTTGTTGACTTAACAAATTGACACTCTTGTTTATGGTGTCTGTAATCTCCCTAGGCTCTTGTCATGAGTTGCCAAGGCTATGGAAGCCTTTTGAGTTCACCGACTCTGATCATATTTAGACAAGGTCATAGTCAAAGTGGAAGTTCTCTCCTCCCTTCAGAGAAAGGTACCTCCTTCTTTGATGGTCCGTTCTTTCTACTGGGATCTCACTGAGATCTTTCATTTAGGTTTTTCTTTTTTTTTTTTTTTTTTAACAGAGTGTCTTGGCTTTCCATGCCTAAAATACTCTCATGGGCTCTTCAGCCAGATCCAAATGCCTCAAGGGCTGATTCTGAGGCCAGAGTGCTGTTTAGGACATCTGCTATTCTACTCTCATAAGGTTTGAATACAGAGTTGACAGTCTGACTTCTGATAGTATCTTCTGAGCACCAAGTACTATGCAGAATATTCACACTTTCATCTTAATCTCTGCAGCACCTTTGCGAGTTAAGAATTCTAACATCCATATTTTAAAGATAAGGAAACTAAGGCTCAGTAAAGCTAAATACTTTGAGTAAGGTCACATCAGATACTCCAAATCAGATATGCTTTCTGCTACATCACACTGTCTTTATTCTATTCTGTATTAAAAGATTTTAAAAATATTTCAACTAACCTGTAATTTCCCATTTTAATGCGAAGCAGTCCTTAGCAAATGATCTTTTACTTAATGGACACTTCAGGAACTGAATGCACAGGACATTTCGACTCCCTCCCAATGAGAATGACAATCTGTCGTCTATCTCCATGACCAGAATGAGCAGAAGACTAGATATAGGATGGGTTCCTACCTCAATGTCAAACTCAACTTCTCCTGGTTCACGAACTCGGTTAGGGTCAGAGCAAGGCTTTGCACGGGGCAACTTCCGGGGAAATTCTTAAACAAAACAAAAACAAAACAACCAGAACGCACTTATTTTGAAGCCAAGATTAGCATCTGAGCCAAATACCCAGAGGGAAGAAAATAACACAGTAATTTTCCTGGAAGTAATGATCACAGCCCACTAATTTAGAGAGATGAAACATTAACTGATAAATCTCTAGAGAAAAGGAAACAATGGGGGGGCCTACAAAGTCTGGTAAATCAGAATCTCAACAAATTCAGGCCTAATGTTTTGAGACTACCAAAGGGGCCAAAAATATATATGAAATGGGCAGGCCAGGGAAGAGAAAATTAGAGACACACTTGGTCTTATTATCAAGGTCGCCTTTTCCTTTCCCAGTCTCTCGTCTATCTGGAGCTCATCATCTGAATCCAAGTCAAATTCATCCTCCATCATCTGTTCTGTCACCGCCCTAGCCTTTTCGGACTTCTTTGCAATCTTGGCTCGCCGGGATTTGGGTAAGCTCTTCATCCTCTTGGTACTGAAGATAAAGGGAAGGAGAACAAAAAAAGCAAACAATCATACGCAATATTGTTAAGATGGTAATTCTCCCATAATTGATCTTGGCAAGATTCAATGCAACCTCTATCAAAATCCAGCCAGCTTTTTTTGTATACTGACAAACTGATAGTAAATTGTACATAGTCATGCAAAAAGTTTTAAATAGCCAACACTATTTCAAAAAAGAAAAAAGTTGGAAGACATATTACTCAATTACAAAGCTTATAATAAAGCTATAGTAATCAAAACAATGCAATATTGGCTTAAGGATAGACATACAGATCAGTGGAACAGAACTGTGAGTCCAGAATAATCTCCTAAATTTATGATCAACTGATTTTTGACAAAGGTGTCAAGGTAATTCAGTAGGGAAAAGATTTCAAGAAATGGTACTGAGACAGGGTTGGTGTTATGAGGTAGCAGGTAAAGCTGCCATCTGTGATACTGGCATCCCATATGGGTGTTGGTTCAAGTCCTAGCTGTTCCATTTCCTATCCAGCTGCCTGCTAATGTGCTTGGGAACGCAGCCGGGTGGGGTGGGGGGATGGCCCAAGTGCTTGGGCCCCTGCATCCACGTGGGAGATCCTGAAGAGTCTCCTAATTCTTTGCTTTGGCTTGGCCCAGCCCCAGCCAATGTGGCTATTTGAGAAGTGAACCAGTGGATGGAACATTCTCTCTCTCTCTCTCTCTTCCTCTGTGTGACTCAAATAAAATAAACAAATCTTGTTCAAAAAGAAAGAGATGGTGCTGATAAAACTGAATAGCCATATGCAAAGAAATGAATATGGACCCTTATCTCACATCATACACAAAAATTAACTAAAAATACATCATAAACTTAAATGTGAAAGCTAAAACTATAAACTCTCTAGAAGAAATCACAGGAAAATATCTTTTGACCTGACAATAGGTAAATTAAAAACTGACCATTAAGAAGATAATGCTTATCCAAACAATCCTGCCATTTGTGACAATATATTCTTAGGGGACATTAACCTAAGTGAAACAAGTCAGACACGCAATGAAGAATACTCCATGGGGCTGGCATTGTGGCACAGCATGGTAAGCCACCACCTGTAGCACTGGAATCCCATTGGTTTGAGACCCTGCTGCTCACTTCTGATCCAACTCCCTGCTAATGCACCTAGGAAAACAGCAAAGATGGCTCAAGTACTTGGTTGGGCGCCTGCACCCACATGGGAGACTGGAAAGTACTCCTGGCTCCTGGCTTTGGCCTGGCACAGCCCTTCCTGGCTATTGCAGCCATTTGGGGAGTCAACCAGCAGATGGAAGATTCTCTGTCTCTCCATCTCTCTGTAACTCTGCCTTTCAAATAAAAAACAAATCTTTAAAAAAGAAATACGCAGTGACTTCACTTATATACGGAACCTACAGACATAAAATTTATAGAAACAAAATGTATAACTGTGGTTTTGAAAGGCTGTGGGGTAAGGGAACATGCTAACCAGAGTTTCAGTTATGTGGGATGAAAAAGTTCTAGAAATCTCATGCACAGCAAGATGACTACAGACATATACCTGAAATTTCCCAAGAGTAGATAAAAACACAAACACACAAAATGGTAAGTGTGTAAGGGGATGACTTTGTTAATTAGCCTGACTACAGCAATCATTTCACAATTTAGATGTGTATCAAAACTTATATATATATGTGTGTGTGTGTATGTATATAATTTTTATCAAAAAATGAGATACCACTTTGCATCTCTCAGAATGGCTATAATTAAAAAAAAAAATTGTTGGTCAATACGTGAAGAAACTCATGGTTCCTGGTGGGACTGCAAAATGGTACACACATTTTGGAATAATCTTTGGCAGTTTCTTAAAAAGCTAAATATAGTGTTACCATGTGACTGGGTAATTTTACTCATAGGTGAGAAATGAAAACCTATGTCTACACAAAAACTTATACATCAATGTTCAAAGCAGTATTATTCGTAGTAGCCAAAAAGCAGAAGTAATGCAAATGACCATTAACTAGTAAATGTTTAGATAAATATAATGTGATATATCCATACAATGAAATGTTGTTCAGTGGTAAAAACGAATCAACTAATGATACATGCTACATCATGAATGATCTACCCACCCCCCAACATTATGCTCTAAGTGAAAGAAGCCAGATATGGAGGACCACGTATTGCATGATTCCATTTCTACAAAAGATCCAGAAAAAGCAAATCTATAGAAAGTAGATTAGTAGTTGCTTGGGCCTAGAGATGAGAATGAGGACTGCCTGCAAATAGGCAAGAGGGATCCTTTTGTTCTTACAGAAATGTTCTTGTACTGGATTGTAATGGTTGTACAATTCTGTAGAGTTACTAAAATTCATTTAACCACAGGTTAATTTAACCTAGAAAAGGCAAATTTTATGGTATATGAATCATGTGTCAAGAATGCTGTTAAAAATATGTAAAGGAAAAGGAAAAACTCAAAATGGCTTGGATAATTCTGTTACACATAGTGAACAATATTAATCAGTACAAACTGATCAATGAAACCTCATAAACCACAGTCCTTCAGTGAATTGGTTGTCATTAAATTGGCCTGTTTTCTACCTCATAAGGCTGTTGGGGAATACTAAATGAGCTAATGAGCCTGACAAGCGGCAAGTGCCAAATTGTAGCTAATATTATAATTAAGTTCTCTGGGTCCCAATTTTCACATGAGTAAAATGGGGTAACAATATGAGAGTACCTAAAAAGTTTTTGGAAAATGGAATTAAGGGGCCAGTACTGTGGTGCAGCAGGTTAAGATGCCGTGGCACCAGTTTGAGTCCCAGATACTCAGCTTCTGATATAGCTCCCTGCTAATCCATGTGGGAAGGCAGGGGGAAATGATTCCTGCTGTCCATGTGGGAGTCCTGATTTTGGCCTGCCCCAGCATCTGGCTGTTGCAGACATTTGGGGCATGAATCAGTGGATGAAAACTCGCTCTCTAACTCTTTGGCCTTCCAAATACATAGATATGTATGTGTACACACACACACACACACACACACACACATATATATGAATATATATATATATCTTTAAAAAGAAAATAGAATTAAAACAAGTTCATTTTGGTGCAAAAATATTGAAATTCATACACAGTTCTTTCAAATACACACTTTCCATGAACTTTTTGAAGATCCCTTGCAATTTTTTTTTTTTTTTTGACAGGCAGAGTGGACAGTGAGAGAGAGAGAGACAGAGAGAAAGGTCTTCCTTTGCCGTTGGTTCACCCTCCAATGGCCGCCACGGCCAGCACGCTGCGGCTGGCGCACTGCGCTGATCCGATGGCAGGAGCCAGGTACTTCTCCTGGTCTCCCATGGGGTGCAGGGCCCAAGCACCTGGGCCATCCTCCACTGCACTCCCTGGCCACAGCAGAGAGCTGGCCTGGAAGAGGGGTAACCGGGACAGAATCCGGCGCCCCAACCGGGACTAGAACCCGGTGTGCCAGCACCGAAAGGCAGAGGATTAGCCTTGTGAGCTGTGGCGCCGGCCTGCACTTATTTTTAAAATTTATTTATTTATTTATTTGAAAGTCAGAGTTGGGGCCGGTGCTGTGGCACAGTGGGTTAAAGCCTCAGCCCGCAGTGCCAGCATCCTGTATGGGTGTTAATTCATGTCCCAGTTGCTCCTCTTCTGATCCAGCTCTCTGCTATGGCCTGGGAAAGCAGTAGAAGATGGCCCAAGTCCTTGGGCCCCTGCACCCATGTGGGAGACTCGGAAGAAGCTCCTGACTCCTGGCTTCAGATCAGCACAGCTCCAGCCATTGCAGCCATCTGGGGAGTGAACCAGCAGATAGAAGACTTCTCTCTCTGCTTCTACCTCTCTCTGTAACTCTTTCAAATAAATAAAATAAATCTTTTAAAAAAAGCGAGCGAGGACTTGAACTCAGACACTTTTCATATGGAATGTAGGTGTTCCAAACAGCATCTTAAACACTGCGTGGGAAACCTGGAAGAAGCTCCTGGCTCCTGGCTTCGGATCAGCTCAGCTCTGGCCATTGCGGTCATTTGGGGAGTGAACCAGTAGAATGGAAGACCTCTCTCTCTCTGGCTCTGCCTCTCTCTGTAACTCTTTTCAAATAAATAAAATAATTCTTTAAAAAAAAAAAAAAAGAGAAGACGACACACACACACACACATAATGTATCCCTTCCATCTACTGGTTTACTCCCAGATGACCACAATTGACAAAGCTGGGCCAGGCCAAAGTCAAGAGCAAGGAACTACATCCCAGTCTCCCACATGGGTGGCGGGGGCCCAAGTACTTGGGCCATCTTGTGTTGCTTTTTCCAGGCCATTAATAGGGAGCTGGACACAACACTGGCTCTGTACTTTTTCAAGGTTGTGGGGACTAAAAAACATATTTAAACAAGTTTGACACAGAGCAGATGCCCAATAAATAATAGCTATTTGTAACCTGACCTTTTATTAACTTCTGATTGTGAGAAATTTCAAACATATAAAAACACAAACGTTTAATGAAGTCCCATCTATCACCCAGCTAAGTCTCTGCAATTATCAACACACATCTAATCTTGTTTTATTTATCCTTCTCTCCTTACAAAGGACTAAATTTGGAGAAAAGTCCAGACATAATACCCTATCATCTGTATATATTTCTACACCTTGACTATCTAGATTCAATTAACAGCAGCTTCTGGCAGCTACAGCAGGCAACAGAAGCAGAATAAGAAAGACCGATGGGGAAAGAAAAAATGTTTCATTATATCCTTAGTAGATAATACATACTGGATTCTTTGGACTCAGTTGTTTCCTCTTCAGGCGACCTACCAGAAATTCTGAATAAAGACAACACCCAACAATCTCTCTAATATTACTTTTACAAATGGAGTTGTCAAACCCCAAGAATAGCTATGCTGCTTTCAGAATATGCCCTACTCTCACTCCCTTTCCCTTACTTTCCAGACAGATGGACCTACCACAACGCTCCGTTGGGGTCTAAAGATAATCTTTTCCTACAAAGAGGCTATTAAGGTACCCCTGTTGTTTGTGCTCCAATTCTGTACTTGGCTCTTGAATGCTGCTGTCTAGTGCTTTAAGAACCCAGATGATAGGGCTGACACCGTGGCTCACTTGGTTAATCCTCTGCCTGCGGCACCGGCATCCCATGTGGGCAGCAGGTTCTAGTCCTGGTTGCTCCTCTTCCAGTCCAGCTCTCTGCTGTGGCCTGGGAGGGCAGTGGAGGATGGCCCAAGTGTTTGGGCTCCTGCACCCACATGGGAGACCAGGAGGAAGCACCTGACTCCTGGCTTTGGATTGGCGCAGCACCGGCCATAATGGCCATTTGGGGAGTGAACCAATGGAGGGAAGACCTTTCTGTCTGTCTCTCTCACTGTCCATAACTCTATCTGTCAAATTAAAAAACAAAAAAGAACCCAGATGATAATACTTACTACCTTCTCCTGTCTCTGCCTCCAGCTCCATATGTATTTCAGGGTTTCTGATGACCTTCTCCACTTCTGGCCACACCTACATCGTTACATCTTCATATTTGAGATACTATTTGTTATACAACAGATCCTTTGATAAGCACTTTGCATGCATTCTCTCATTTAACCCTCCAACAACCATAAGGCAAATTTTTTTTTATAAATCTTTTTTTTTTTATTTGACTGGTAGAGTTATAGACACAGAGAGAAAGAGAGAAAGGTCTTGCTTCTGTTGGTTCACTCCCCAAATGGCCGCTGCAGCCAGCACTGTGCCGATCTAAAGCCAGGAGCCAGGTGCTTCCTCCTGGTCTCCCATGCGGATGCAGGGCCCAAGCACTTGGGCCATCCTCTACTACATACGGCAAATTTTATCTACAGAACAGATAAGATGAAGACACTGAAGTTCAGATAGGCTCATGTGCCAAAGTCACACATGAACACATGTCACAGCTGTGATTTAAAGTAGGAATTCCCAAGTCCCTGATTTTGTTGTTTTTATTCTTTTAGAAAATGTTGCCTACAATTATTTTCAGAAGACTAATACATGCTCATTATACTCATACAAATTTCAGTGCTACTGAAGTGAAAATTTCCTCTCCCACCACCCCTGTACTACTCTCCAAACATAAAACACTTTTGAATACATGGTATAACAACTATAAAATATGTTACAAACACAATTATTTGCTAGAATGCATATAAATATCTCTGGAAGGAAACCACTGAAATTGGTTTTTTATGAGGCACCTTTCTCATAGTTTTTGAATTTTAAACTTCAAAAAATTTAAACTAAAGGGAGGGGCTGGCATTGTGGCATAGTGGGTAAAGCCACTGCTTACAATGCTGGCATCCCATATGGGTGCTGGTTCAAGTCCTAGCCACTCCACTTCTGATCCAGCTCCTTGCTAATGTACCTAAGAAAGCAGTAGAAAATGGCCCAAGTCCTTGGGCCCCTGTACCCACATGGGAGACCCACATGAAGGTCCTGGCTCCTGACTTCAGACTCTTCCAACCCTGGACGTCGCAACCATTTGGGGAGTGAACAAGCAGATGGAAGACTTCTATCTCTGTCTGCCTCTGCCTCTCTCTAACTCTTTGAAATTAAATAAATAAAACTTTTTTAAAAAATAAAGTGAAAAGTCTGTTGCTTTTCTACACATGACTAAACATATTTCTGTGCAAAGATGCCTTTAAAAAATAAAAATGGAACTATTCCTATATATTATCTCTTTCACTTAGGAATATACCTTAGACATGTTTCTGTGTCAACAGATAGTAAACTGTCTCATTCTTTTTAAACGACTACATGGTAATTCTTTCTACAGATGTATAAAAATTGATTTATTCAACCCTTATTGATAAACATTTGGATGCTTACAATTATTTACCATTATGAAAACTGATGCAGTGAACACTTCTCATTACACTCTTGTACAAACATTTCTACAAACTAAATTCCTAACACTCAAACTGCAAATCAAAAGGTATATAAGAAATTAATGCTTTTAACAAGCATGCCATACCACCTCTTATTTCTCCCAGTGGTTATTACTATCTTGATGAAACTTCTAGAACTAGTATTCTTCTCAAGACTTCCAATTATACTGCAATTAGATTACAATGCCCCTACCCTAACCCCTCCACCACCCATGTCTTAACACCAAGGTTCCAATTTTGTCAGTCCCATTATTTCTGTACTCCTTCTTACCACCTCACCTGCCATTAGACATCAAAACAGCCAATGGGCTCTCATTCCCATCAAGGTCCAGGTCTGGCGAGTCATCCTCCGAGTCATTCAAGCGGGTACCAGCAATATTGAACTGCAGAAGGAGGAGGCTCAGTTGTCAGCAGTCTGAGACTCCCATCTCAATCACGATGGTCAGTTCCCTCTGGTTTCACTGGTTGAGTTCACTGTCAAAACCATCTGAACCAAGGCCTTCTGCTCTGTTTCCCTCCCTTTCCCACCCTCCAAACATCACAGAAGCATGAGGCTGAGAATGAGTGAGTGGCTCCGGGGAAACCTGTCAATCTTGTGAAACACGTTCTCTAAAAGGGTGGGGGGCAGCTTCAGATGCCTATAGAGGGCACCAAAATATTGAGGCAAGGTAGAACCCTGAGGGAAAACTTTTCTAAAGGACTTATTTAAAATTCTAACCTGATATTCATATGCAATGTTCTCAAATCCCATTCCCTCTGGGAATTTCAAGATTCAACTCAGGTGTCTTGTTTTCTGAAGAGCCCCTGACCATTTTCTATACCTCAAACCCCTCTGTATGTGTCACAGAGTCTCACAGATACCTTGATTGTGGCATCTATATAGCACTTTGTTGCACTCATTTGTTTTGATGCCTATCTTTCTCACTGGCCTATCATATGAGACTCTTGAGAGTTATGCCCACAGCACCTATCACAGTGCCCAGCACAGAAAAGGTCTCAATAAATGCCTGTTAAATGAGTGGGACTGGTAGCCAAACACCAGGGGCCCTACGGGAGGTGGGAGCAATACAGGAAAGCCTGTCTTTTTGAAACCCTGCTCTTCCAAGGGACCCAAAAGGGTTGGGCTGAACCCATGGGTCCGCACCCACCTTTGCTTTCTGGAAAGAGCCTGTCTTCAGTGCCTGATGATTGTATGTATCCATGAGATTATAGCTCAATTGGCCAGCAGGCCCCAAGGGTGAACTCTCCTTGCCCTTTTGCTCTTCCTTCTTGAAGAGTTCCTTGGGCTTCAGGCCTTTCTTCTTTGAACCACTTTTGGAGGGCAGTGACAGCCTGGAAATGGATACTGAAGTGGAATGGGCTGGCCTGTTTAAGGGAATGGAGCCGGCTGGGAAGATCCTCTGCAGCCCAAAGATATTGCTCGTCTTCCCAACGTTCTGTTGGAAGATGTCCTACAAGAGTATTAGTACATGAGGGGGTTAGCGCTTACTCAAAGATTCTCTCTATATTAAGAGCAGAGGTCTGAAGTGGCTTATAGATACTCTACAAATGCACACCCTAGTTTTTGTACAATGACTCATCAAGAATTTATTGGGTGGCATTTCTTAACCCAGCCATTGACAAGTGTGAAGACGAGCAAAGAAAAAGTCCAGCAATGCTGTCAAAATTGGAGAGAAAAGACTCCAAGAGTAGCTGACATGAAACAGAAAATAATCAAGTACAAAACTGTGGTTCAAACTCTAAGAACTACAAGATTTGAGAGAAGGAGAGATGATCTAGTCCTAATTTTGCTACTAGCTATCTAAATCTATGACCTCAGGAAAGTTATCTGACCCCTTTATGGCTGTTTGCTCAGCTGTAAAATTAAAGGACTAGATTCTAAAGGTGATTTCCAAAGATGTTCTATGGCTCCTAACCTAGCTTCTTGAAAGAAACCCTGGAGACTCCAAGCAGATAGAAAGTATATAAAAGGAACAAGGCCTCCCATCATCACTGTATTCAAAGCAGCTATTCTGATTTGTCATATATATATTGGGTTTCCATGTGAAATCTCATTTGTAAAAGAGGAGTCCAGTGCTGTAAAAAATTTTAAAACCAATGGATCAGATATGGTCTATATCTAAGTCCTCTTCCAACCAGCCCAAAGTTCTGTTTATAAGACTGATTTAAGTAGAAAGAGCTGGAGAAAAGGTAAACCTTTCCTGAAGGATTTTGACAGCTGGAAATGGAGGAAAATAAGGTAGGGGGGAGTGGACACTGTAAGCTACAGTTATAGGCAGTGAAACACTCTTCAAGCAGTGAGGCTAGAAGCTTAACTCCCCAGTAGCTCACTGTATCTATCATTCAGCAAGGATTACATCCTAGGTAGTAAATGGAACTTGACAGTTCCTGAGCTAAACGAAAGTTGAAACATACTAAGTCCAATTCTCCTCTGGTGCCTCTGCTACTTCACCATCCCACACTGAGTTCTCTCTTTGCTACAAAGTCTATTAATAACAACAGCTCACATTTATTGAGTACTTACTCTGCCAGGCACTGTATGAGAGGCTCTACATATATTAGCTGTTAATCCCAACAAAACTTTGAAACGTTAGTAAAGTTGGTTCCTACTTTACAGATGAGGAAACTGAGACTCTGAAAGACTTGCAAGTGATAGAGTAGGAACCAGAATCCAGGTTTCTCTGAGTCTCTTACCACTATACCTTACTGCCTCGTGGTATATGCCACCTGCTGAAACATGGCTTTGTAATCATCTGCAACCCGAGAGAACTGTCATTTTGTAGAATGCAGAGACTGAATCAAAATATTAACAACAACAGCTACTACTAGTACCACCGCTGCCGCCACCACCACCCACCACTACCACCACAACCCATCATAATTTATTAAGGATCTATTGTGTGCCAAACACTATATTTGACACTCAACCCACATTACCTTATGTAATTCTCTTAACAATCCTTGAGTAGATACAATTATCCCCATTTAAGAGATGAAGAAACTGAGGCTCAAGAGAGGTTAACTTTGCTAAGGCTCCTCAAACAGACTATAAGTTTACTGTGGGCAGGCACTGTATTATTTATGTATCCTTAGAGGGTAGCCCAATGTGTAGAACACATTTGAAGCACATAATAATTATCTGAATGAACAAATAGGTTGCTTGATGGGATTTTCCCAATCCTTCCTCTGGGCGCTCATGTCAACTGCAGAAACCTGATCTGCCATTTGAGCCTTGAGCCCAAATGCCTTTCCCTCTTCCCATGCTTCTTACTTCAACCAGGCGAATCTCCCTAGCCAGATCTTTAATGAGTTGTACAGTCCGTACTGTCTCCGGGATCTCATCCTCGTGGTCTGGAAGAGCCTGTCAAATAAGAGGCATGAGAAAGAGACCCACAAGTAAATAAACAACTGATTTTCAATAAATGTGTCAATCAACAAATGATACTGGATCAATTAGAAATCTATGTACAAAAAAAAAAAAAAAAAAAAAAGACACAAGAACGTTGATCCAGATCTTACACACAATGGCTCATGGATCTAAAAATAAAAATTATAAACCCATTATTTTTAGAAGAGAGTAGAAAACCTTTGGAACCTCCAGTTAGGCAAAGATTTCATAGGATATAAAAAACATGAACAAGCAAAGAAAAAAGTGATAAATTAGACATATTAAAAAACTCTCTGCAAAATCTCCACTACTTTACCATCAATGCTACTTTTAAGACAAGCTAAAGGGGCCAGTGCTGTGGTGTAGTGGTTAAAGCCATAGCCTGCAGTGCTGGCATCCCATATGGGTGCCAGTTCAAGCCCCGGCTGCTCCACTTCTGGTCCAGCTCTCTGCTATGGCCTGGCAAAGCAGTGGTAGATGGCCCATGTCCCTGGGCTCCTGCACCCACATGGGAGAACCAGAAGAAGCTCCTGGCCCCTGGCTTCGGACAGCCCAGCTACAGCCATTGTGGCCATCTGGGGAGTGAACCAGCGGAAGGAAGACTCATCTGTCTCTCTCTGTGTGTCTCTCCTTCTCTGTAATCCTGCCTTTCAAATAAATAAATAAATCTTTAAAAAAAAACACAAGTTACAGACTGAGAGAAAATATTTACCAAATATATCTGCTAAAGGACAGTATCAAGAGGTGTAAGGAACTCAATTGTGGGTTGGAGCTACACCGCTCAAAAAATTAAGGACCTGTCTCCTTGTAACTCTGCCTTTCAAAAAAACAAACACATCTTTAAAAAAATCAAGGACCTGAGGGAGATGAATGGGGACAAAATGGCCTCTGCGCTTTAGAGGATAGAACTCAGTACTCAGCAGCTACAGGCCTATACCTAGCTCAACTATAAACTGGGGGATAACATGTCAGTTGTCTCTCTTTCAAATTTATTTTCCATATTTTTTAATATGAAGATTTATATTTTATGTAGATCTGAAACTTTTTCTTTGTCATTTCTTCTACTACTTTTTACATTACTTTTGCATCCAGAGGATGGAAAAAATTTCCTCAGCATTCCCTTGCTTCTCAAGGTTGGATTCTTTTTTTTTTTTCTTTTCATTTAACTCCTTTAATCTATCTGGAATTTATTTTAGTGGTTGGATCAGGGGCCAAGAATCTATGTGACCCAGCATAACTTTAATGGCTCCCTCCCTCCCCTCTAAGACCTGGGCTCAGGAAAGGTGAGGAAGCAAGTGCTTCCCAAGACAGACAGTATACTTCACAGACTTCTTCCGTGAGCATGGGCTCCTCAGAAATGTCTTACTCTCCTTCAGTTCCATTTGATCACACTGCTTGGGGCCATCCCTTGGTTCTTAACCAAGAGCATGAGTACTTTCTACCCATGCAACTCTTTTTTTAGTATTCCTGGGGACCCAATCATGGTGAAGTTTCATTCATGGGATGGGCTCAGTGTTCAAACTCAAGGAAACCACACCTATAAGGTGTTCAGAAACAGAGTCACAGACTAAGGCCCAGGTATAGGTGAGTGCAGGGAGCAAGGGAAGGCCTAAAGTGTGAAGGCCAAGAATATCTATGGGAAAGTCTGGTAACAAGAAATGGGAGACTGTGTGGGATAAGCCTCAATGGCTGAAAGGTCTCCTTAGGACAATGAAGTAGCTACCTGAAGTCTAAGTGTACATATTGATATTTCTTCTGCTTTCTTGGATTTCATAAACTTGCTTGCTTTTTTAAAAAGATTTATTTATTTATTTGAAAGTCAGAGTTACACAGAGAGAGAAGACGAGGCAGAGAGAGAGAGAGAGAGAGAGAGAGAGAGAGAGGTCTTCCATCCACTAGTTCACTGCCCAGATGGCTGCAATGGCCGGAGCTGAGCTGATCTGAAGCTGGGAGCCAGGAGCTTCTTCTGGGTTTCCCACACGGGTGCAGGAGCCCAAAGACTTGGGCCATCTTCTACCACTTTCTCATGCCACAGCAGAGAGCTGGATCAGAAGTGGAACAGCTGGGACTCGAAGCAGCACCCATATGGGATGCTGGCACTGTGGACAGAGGCTTTACCCACTACTCCACAGCACCGGGCCCCACTTGCTTGCTTTTTAAGAACTCAACATTTTGGGGTAGGCACTCTGTTACAGCAGGTTAAGCTACCTCTGGATATACCAGCACTCCATAATGCAGGCTCAAGTCTAGGCTCCTCTGCTTCTGAGCCAGCTACCTGAGAATGGGCCTGGGAAAACAGCAGATGGTGTCTCAATTACTTGAATTCCTGCCACCTATGTGGGAGACCCAGACAGAGTTCCTGGTTTCTGGCTTCAACCTGACCCAACCCTAGCTATTGCAGGCATTTGGGGAGTGAACCAGTAGATAGAATTAATCTCTCTCTCTTTCTCTCTCTCTCTCTCTCTCTTCCCCCCTCCCTTCCTGTCACTCTCCCTCTCAAATATGTCACTTTAATAAAGAAAGAAATGGGAGATACGTAGGTTAAGCCTGCAATAGCTGAGAAGTCTCTTTAGGTCACTGAATGCAGGGGGAGGAATCTATAGGGTACATGCAGCCTAAACATAAACACTCATATATCTTCCATTTTCTTGCATTCCACAAACTTGGTGTGGTTTTTTTTTGGAGATTTTTTTTTTTAAATTCATTTGAGAGGAAGAGTTACAAACAGAGAGAGGGAGAGACAGAGAAAGAGGTCTTCCATCTGTTGGTTCACTCTTCAAATGGCCATAATAGCCGGGGCTGGGCCAATCTGAAGCCAGGAGCCAGGAGCTTCTTCCAGGTCTCCCACGTGAGTGCAGGGGCCCACGCCCCTGGGTCAGCTTTTTTTTTTTTTTTTTTTTTGACAGGCAGAGTGGACAGTGAGAGAGAGAGACAGAGAGAAAGGTCTTCCTTTTGCCATTGGTTCACCCTCCAATGGCCGCCACGGCCGGCGCGCTGCGGCCAGCGCACCGCGCTGATCCGATGGCAGGAGCCAGGTACTTCTCCTGGTCTCCCATGGGGTGCAGGGCCCAAGCACTTGGGCCATCCTCCACTGCACTCCCTGGCCACAGCAGAGAGCTGGCCTGGAAGAGGAGCAACCGGGACAGAATCCGGTGCCCCGACCGGGACTAGAACCCGGTGTGCCGGCGCCGCAAGGTGGAGGATTAGCCTAGTGAGCCGTGGCGCCGGCCAGTGGGTCAGCTTATACTGCTTTCTCAAGCCATGAGCAGGGAGCTAGATCAGAAGAGGAGCAGTCAGGACTCCAACCAGCACTATATGGAATGCCAGTGCTACAGGCGGAGGTTTAACCTACTACGCCACAGTACCAGCTCCATTTTGGTTTTGGCTTGACACAGCTCTGGCTATTATGGCCATTTAGGGAGCAAACCAGGGATGGAAAAATCTCTTTCTGTCTCTCCCTCTATGTAACTCTTTCTTTCAAATAAATAAATATTTTTTTAAAAGCAAATAATATGAAAAAATATCAGAGTGCCTAGGTTCAATCCCCAGCTCTGCCTCCTAATTCCAGTTTCTTGCCAATGAAGATCCTGGAAGGCAGCAGATGACAGTTCAAGTAGTTGCATCCTTGCTAGCACATGGGAGATCTGGATTGAGTTCCTAGCTCCAAGTTTTGGCCTGGCCTTATCCTGGCCATGGCAAGCATTTGGGGAGTTAATCAGCAGATGAGAATGCTTTGCACTCATTCATGCTCTCTGAATCCCTACCTCTCAAATGTGTGTGTGTGTGTGTGTGTGTGTGTGTAAAAGATAACTAGTGAAAGGTCTCATCCTACCTTGTCCCTACCATCACCTCCATAAACTAACCCACAAATAATACTTCCTTTGTTTTTATATTCCTCAAGATGTGTCTTCAGGCAAATACAAGTATATGCAAATATAATTCTTGCTTTTTCCTTTTTTGCATATAAAGTAGTATAGTTTACACATGGTTCTATGCTTTTAGTTGACAAATTCTGGAGATCTTTCCAAATCAGTACATAGAAAGCTTTCTTATTGTCTGTCACAGCTGTTTAGTATTCAGTTGGATTGATGTTTATTGGTACATTTCTAAAAAGCCATTTTGGCAGTATGCATCAAGAGCCTTACATTTTTTTCATAAACTCTGATGTAATAACTGCTCTTAATCAAACAATGTGGGATAAAGACTGATGCATACAGATAATTATTGTAAGACTCTCTATACCTCTTCCAAATAAATAATTAAAAGGACACAATAACAAGTAGTTAGGTAAGGATGATACAGTCCTACTGAAGTATATCATGTAATTATTAAATGCTCATGTTTATGAAAATTACAATAAGCCAATAGACTCAAACATAGAATTAGATTACAGCATGATTGCAATTATGTTTTTAAAATTCATATAGGAGAGCTGGTGTCGTGACATAGCAGGTAAAGCCACTGCCTGCAATGCCTGCATCCTAGCTGCTCTACTTCCAATCCAGCTCCCTGCTAATAGCCTAGGAAAAGCAGCAGAAGATGGTCCCAGTGCTCCTATGTGGGAGACCTGGAAGAAGCTCCTGGCTTCAGCCTGGCCCAGTCCGGCCATTGTGGTCATCTGGGGAGTAAACCAGTGGTTCTACTCTCTCTGTAACTCTTTCAAACAAATAAATAAATCATTAAAAATAATTCATATAGAGGAAGACATTTGGGCCAGTAGGTAACCCAAGGGTTAGGGCACCTGCATCCCATTATCAGAGTGCCTCTGTTTGGAGCTTCAGCTCAGCTCCCAAGTCTAGCTTCCTGGTAATATGTGCCCTGGGAGGCAACAGGTGATGGTTCAAGTAGTTGAATCCCTGCTACCCATGTAGAAAGCCTTGATTGAGTTTCCCACCCCCGGTTTCAGCCACAAGCCTGAGTCATCATGGACATCTGGAAAGTCAACCAGTAAATGGGAGTTCCGTCTGTCTCTCAAATAAATAAAATTAAAAATAAACAAAACACATAAGAAGATCAGAAATACAAGCATGTCCAAATATTAATAGTTCCCTATAAGTATTAAAATTACAGATGATGTTTTCTTATTTTATATTCTTTTTATTTGTCTAAAGTATGTATGCATTACTTTTATGAGCTAAAAGAAAGGTTTAATAATGTAATCCAAGGAATCCTAGCCCAGTCCTCCACTCTTCTGCTTCTTCAAAGCACATGCCCAAAGACAGTCCCTACAGGGGGCAGAACTCCCAAGGAGATAAAGAAATAGACATATTTACTTCTTTTCTTGTCCAGGCTCTAAAGGCCAAGTTCAGTGCTTTACCACCATGTACCAGGTAGGAGGCAGGGTGTCTCCTGTTCTGTCGCAAACCTAAAGAGGGAAAGAGGAAAGCAGAGTATCAGTGAAGCGCTGCAGGAAAGTAAATACAACTAGGGAAATCATACAACTAGAGAAAATGCTCAGAGTTCTGAGTTCAACTCTAGATTTGAAGTTCTCTTATTGGTGTTCATTTACTGTGTATCTACTACATGTGAATCCTTATAACCACCCTACTAGGCAGGTATTAGTATCTTCATTTTGCAGTTCAGGAAACTGGGTTTCAGAGAAAAAAACAGATTTGACCAAGTGGCCACACCTGGTAAAGGCCAGAGCCAAGAGTGAAATCCTAATTGAATCTGAGGGTGTGCTTCTTCCATTAAACTACTCTGCCAACTGGGTTTCAAAATGAGAACACTCAGGATGACCATGGTTGCTACATTAGGATGTGAAGGGCCATTAACATAGAAGATGGATTAGCTGTGCTTGGTCTCACTTCAGGGGAAGACTATTAGAACCAGATTTGGGCTTTATAAAGAATTCTCATGGCCGGTGCTGTGGTGCAGCGGGTTAAAGCCCTGGCCTGGGGTGCCGGCATCCCATATGGGCACTGGTTCTAATACCAGCTGCTCCTCTTCCAATCCAGTTCTCTGCTATGGCCTGGGAAAGCAGTAGAAGATGGCCCAAGTCCTTGGGCCCCTGCACCCACGTGGGAGACCCAGAAGAAGCTCCTGGCTCCTGGCTTCAGATTGGCTCAGCTCCAGCCATTGCAGCCATCTGGGGAGTGAACCAGCGGGACCTCTCTCTCTCTCTCTGTAACTCTTTCAAAATAAATAAAATAAATCTTTTTAAAAAAAGAATTCCATGAAACCTCCTGGTTGGCATCCTTTGGAGCTCACATGTAGATGCCAACCCAGAACAAGATGATGAAGGCGACACAGTTCATAAAGAACAAGGCCACCAAGGAGAAGATACTCTCCATAGATATCTCAAGTGCACATGGCAGGAATGACCTCATAAACAAAGAACCAAGTGGGGCCAGCGCTGTGGCACAGTAGGTTAATCTTCCACCTGTGGCACCTGCATCCATATGGGCACCAGTTCTAGCCCCAGCTGCTCCTCTTTCAATCCAGCTCTCTGCTATGGCCTGGGAAAGCAATAGAAGATGGCCCAAGTCCTTGGGCCCTTGCACCCATGTGGGAGACTAGAAGAAGCTCCTGGCTCCTGGCTTCAGATTGGCGCAGCTCCGGCCGTTGTGGCCATTTGGGGAGTGAACTAGCGGATGGAAGACCTCTCTCTCTGTCTCTCCCTCTCACTGTCAGTAACTCTACCTCTCAAATAAATAAATAAAATCTTTTTTTAAAAACAAAGAACCAAGTGAAGAACATGCCAGTGGCCAAAAGCACCATGGTCAGATGAGGGAAGACAGCCAGGTTCATGGCCTTGAGCTCCATTTTCCCCAGAACAGGGTAAGCTATATGCCCACCACCAGAAGAAAGTGTCAACACAATGTTTTCATATACATAGGAGATCTTTGTGGTGATGAATAGTACTATATCTTGATCAAGTTGATAGTTATACATATTCATATTCTCTCTCTCTCACACACACACACATACACACACACAGTCAGGGGAGCAGGACATAACGGACCCATACCTCGAAAGATGTCCAGGATGTGCTTTCCCACATACCAACAAATGGTCTCAAAGTTGGGGAACTTAAAGAGGTCTGCTGTGCTCAGCCGCTTCTCAATCTCATAGGCTCTGGAAGAAAGAGGCATAACAAGGATCTATTTACTTAGCAATTACTACATACCAGGCATATTCTGGGTACTTTGTATATATTATCTCTAATACTCAAAAGACCCCATAAAAGGGGCTATTGGCATGATGCAGCTGGCTAAGCTATTGCCTGCAAAGCTGGCATCCTACATTGGAGTGCTGGTTTGAGTCTTGGCTGCTCTGCTTCTAATCCAGCTCCCTACTAATGTGCCTGGGAAAGCAACAAAAGATGGCCCAAATACGTGGGCCCCTGCCACCTATGTGGAAAATCAGGATGGAGTTCCTCACTTTGGCCTGCCCCATCCCCAGCCATTGTGGCCATTTGTGGACTAAACAAACAGATGGAAGATCTCTGTGTCTGCCTCTCTCTCTGTCACTGCCTTTAAAATAATTTTCTTAAAAAAGGATCCTGTAAGATTTATATTTAGGAGACTTTGGAATCAAAGGTTACAATGTCTTGCCCAAGGTCACTTAACTAGTATGTGAGGAAAAGTTGTTAATCCTTAAACTGAACAGCATCAGGAACCAGGATCCATTTCCATCTGATCATCATGCCTCCTTCTATGCTGCACTTCCTTGCTCTAAGGAAGAGTCCAAGAACTCCAGCAGACAGGAGGGGCCAACTCAGGATCACCACAGCCTCAGGACTCACTTGAGCTGCATTTCAATGTTAAGGCTATGTAAGAAATTCCCTCCAAAGGCAAGGCAGTCCACAGGGGTCAGCACAGCATGGATCCATCCTGCAGTGTAACAAAGCAAAAATTATAGTTGATACAGGGCCTTTCTTCCTCTCTCCATAGCCCACTCAAGTCAACTCCAACTCCTGAAGAGCAGATGACTCAGAACTTTCTTAGTTAATACACTCTTTCAACACCCAGCCTGCCATCATTTATAATCCTGCATTGGACCAAAATATGGGGTTAATGCACTTCTGCCACCTCGCTCCTCTCCATTTCAAAATATTTCCGTTGCCTTACCATCCAATCTTTTGTCTCTAAGGACATCAACTCCTTCCTATAACTATTCCTTCTACCTCTAACCTGGCTAAACAAAAAGCTTTTGTGCTGGTCAGACCTGAGTTCAAATTCTGCCATTTCCTAGGTAACTATCTACCTCACAGTGTGGTTATGAAGCACACACCCAACTGGAACTCAATTATTCCTTTTACCCCTGACACAGTACCTCCTTCTGGGACCTGAAGATTTTTCTTCTTGGGGCCAGCACTGTGGTACAGTAGGTAAAAGCCACAGCCTGCAACACCAGCATCCCATAAGGGTGCCAGTTCAAGTCTTGGCTACTTCACTTCTGATCCAGCTCCCTGCTAATGCTCCTGGGAAAGCAACAGAAGATGGCCCAACTCCCTGGGCCCCTGCACCCACGTGAGAGACCTGGAAGAAGCTCCTGGTTCCTGGCTTCAGCCTGGCCCAGCCCTAGCCAATGTGGCCACTGGGGAGTGAACCAGCAAATGGAAGATCTCTCTGTGCCTCTCCTTTTCTCTGTAATTCTGCCTTTCAAATAAATAAATCCTTTAAAAATATTTTTATTCTTAAATCTCTCAAATTCATCTCCCTTTCTCTATCTATCCATCCTACTAATGCTTTGGTTCAAATCCCTCACTATCTCTCATCTAGGCTACTGTAACAGCCTCTAAACTGGCTTCTGTACGCCAGTTGTTCTCAAGGTATGATTCAGAGAAACCTCATGCTCCCTGAGACTTTCAGAGAATATGAAAGGCCAAATCTATATTCATGATATTTTTAAGAAGCAGCTCAACCACACTGCCAAGATATGGGAGTACAGCAACAGCTTCTACTGATATAAGTAATATCATACCCACAAGACACCAAGAAACCTGCAGGAACTCCAGCAACAAAAAATATAAAGCGACAGAGAAAGCAGTAATGTGGAAAAGGTGGTTAGTGATTAGAAAATTCTGTGGTGGGGCCGGCGCTGTGGTGCAGTTGGTTAACGCCCTGGCCTGCAGTGCCAGCATCCCATATGGGCGCCGGTTCTAGTCCTGGCTGCTCCTCTTCCAATCCAGCCCCCTGCTATGGCCTGGGATAGCAGTAGAAGAGGGCGCAAGACCTTGGGCCCCTGTACCCATGTGGGAGACCCGGAAGAAGCTCTTGGCTCCTGGCTTCAGGTCAGTGCAGCTCCGACCATTGCGGCCATCTGAGGATTGAACCATCGGACAGAAGACCTCGCTCTCTCTCTGCCTCTCCTAACTCTTTCAAATAAATAAATAAATCTTAAAAAAAAAAAAAAGGAAAATTCTGTGGCAATCTAGTTTTAGTCTAAGTGAAACTGGGAACATAATAAAGATAACACAGCAGGGGCCGGCGCCGCGGCTCACTAGGCTAATCCTCCGCCTTGCGGCGCCGGCACACCGGGTTCTAGTCCCGGTCGGGGCGCCGGATTCTGTCCCGGTTGCCCCTCTTCCAGGCCAGCCCTCTGCTGTGGCCAGGGAGTGCAGTGGAGGATGGCCCAGGTGCTTGGGCCCTGCACCCCATGGGAGACCAGGAAAAGCACCTGGCTCCTGGCTCCTGCCATCGGATCAGCGCGGTGCGCCGGCCGCAGCGCGCCGGCCGCGGCGGCCATTGGAGGGTGAACCAACGGCAAAGGAAGACCTTTCTCTCTGTCTCTCTCTCTCTCACTGTCCACTCTGCCTGTCAAAAAAAAAAAAAGATAACACAGCAGGAAGCACAAAGCTGCTCCCTCTTCTATCCTCATATTTTCATACAATAATTTCTTATGCATCAAATAGGAAAACACCATCCTCACACTAGCCATCAGATTTGGCCCAATTTTACCACCTGGCTTTGCACAAATGATGACCAAAAATAATTGGCCATTTACCCACCTTGGTATCTATTGCAACCTTTATCTTTGTGTGATTTGATCTTTCTTCAGCTTCACAAAGAAGGCATATTATTTAAGATTTCCCAGAATTTAGACAGAAACTATTTCACTGTTTCAACTAGAATCAGAAGACACTTGTGGGGCCAGTGCTGTGGCACAGCAGGTAAAGCCACCACCTGCAGTGCTGACATCCCAAATGGGCACCAATTCGAGTCCTGGCTGCTCCACTTCCAATCCAGCTCTCTGCTATGGCCTGGGAAAGCAGTAGAAGATGGCCCAAGTCATTGGGCTCCTGTACACACGTGGGAGAACCGGAAGAAGCCCCTGGCTCCTGGCTCCTGATTGGCTGAGTTCTGGCCATTGCAGCCAATTGGGTAATGAACCAATGGTTGGAAGACCTCTCCCTCCTTCCCTCCTTCCCTCCTTCCCTCCCTCCCTCCCTCCCTGCCTCTCCTTCTCTCTGTGTGTAACTCTTTCAAATAAATACATAAATCTTTAAAAAAAAAAAGACAACATTTGTTCCACTTTAAATTATATCTTAGGAAGCCCTTTGGAGACTGAAAGTAGAATTTTCTGAGCATTAAAAAATCATGAAAAATATTGTGTTCAAAGGGGATCTTATCAAAACATTGATGGTCCTTTCTTAATTAAATTACTGGCTACAGGCAGGCGCTGTGGCATAGTAGGCTAAGCCTCCACTTGCAGCACTGGCATCCCTATGGGCGCCGGTTGAAGTCCCAGCTGCTCCTCTTCCAATACAGCTCTCTGCTTATGGCCTGGGAGAACAATGAAAGATGGCCCAAATACCTGGGTCCCTGCACCCATGTGGGAGACCTGGCAGAAGCTTCTGGCTTCTGGCTTCATATTGGCCCAGATCCTGCTGTTGCAGCCATTTGGGGAGTGAACCAATGGATGGAAGACCTCTCTCTGTCTCTCCCTGTCTATAACTCTGCCTCTTAAATAAATAAATAAATCTTTAAAAAAATTATACATGACTGGCTACAAGAAAACTAAATGCTTAAATCATTTTAATTTTAAATATAAATTCTGTAATGTGATTTTAGGATACTTTATTTATATATATGTGAATGTATATACATGTACATATATGTATGTGTGTATACATACTTACATACGGTTCCCTTATGCCATAAATGTTTTTCAGATTATATTAACATTCTGATTTAACATCACTCAAGATCATAGAAAATATATCAATGCTACAACAAGTTGAATCTTAGACCTAGTGTTCTGAGATGAAATGGGTTTGAACTGCCTCAATCAGAAAGACTAATAATTCCTATTAACATGTACATTGATCTCACATATAGAGAGGAAATCAGTATCAGGCAGAAATACAATTTAACAAGACTGCTTGACCCAATTAATATTCAAAAAGCTCCTTTTTTCTAGTTAGGAGTTGTGACCATGTGTTACCTTTTTCCTAAGTAATGAAGTGTTTCACAGTCAATTTGTGGTACAAGTATTGCTCTTGTTTTTCCTTGCTTATACTGGACAGCTGTGAGACAGACACATTGGGATGCCTACTCTTGTTAGTATTCATGTTTGCTGCCCAAGATCATTTATTCTAGAATCCTACACACATCCTTGAGATCAGGTGATTCTGTCCTTGCTAATGAAGTATTTCTGTATTTGACTCTAGGAAAAAAAGGTATTCTTTGTCTTTTTTACCGTCAACTTCTTGCAGGTATACCATGTTTCCCGAAGAGGATATGACATAATATTAAAGGCAGAAACAGATTTGAGAATGCAGTCATTTTCTATTATCCTCGACACTAAAGATTTGCAAAAATATAAAACAATGTAACACTTCTCACTAAATGATTTTGCTTAAAAGTTATTTTTCAAAAATACTAAAATTTGATAGGTTTATTATTTCTCCATGAATTAATACATATATGTTTAAAAATTTTGTTTTTGGAGCCTGTGTTGTGACGCAGCTGGTTAAGCCATCACCTGCAATGCCAGCATCTCATATGACCATGGCTTCAAATCCCAGCTGCTCCAATTCTGATCCAGCTCCCTGCTAATGTGCCTAGGAAAACAGCAGAAGATGAGAAGATAGTCCAAGTGCTTGGGTCTCTGTACCCACATGGGAGACCCAGATGAAGCTAGCTCTTGGGTTCAGCCTGGATCAGCCCGAGCCATTGCAGTCATTTGGGGAGTGAACCAACAGATGGAAAATCTGTCTCCCTCACTCCTTGCAACTCTGCCTTTCAAATAAATAACACTTCAAAAATGAAAAAACTTGTTTTAATATATAGATTGATAAATCTATACTACACAAGAAAAAGTTCTTTTGGGTTTGCAATGATTTTTAAAAGTATACAGGAGGGGATTGGGGCTGTGGCATAGTGGGCAAAGCCACGGCCTGCAGTGCCAGTGTCCCATATGGGCGCCGATTTGAGTCCCAGCTGCTCCACTTCCAATGCAGCTCTTTGCTATGGCCTGGAAAAGCAGTGGAAGATGGCCCAAGTCCTTGGACCCCTGCACCTGCGCAGAAGACCTGGAAGAAGCTCCTGGCTCCTGCCTTCGGGTCAGCCCAGCTCCAGCTGTTGTAGCCAACTGAGGAGTGACCCGGCGGATACAAGACACCTCTCCCTCTCTCTCTCTCTCTCTCTTTCTCCCTCTCTCTCTCTCTGCCTCTCTGTAACTCTTCCAAATAAATAAATCTTTAAAAAAAGTATAAAGGAATACAAAATGTTTATAAACCATTGCTCTATACCAATCTAAAATCTGTCATCCATATCCAATCCTAAATGATCTATCTATAATGCATATCTCCCCATGTCATCCATTCCCTGTCTTAAAAATCTCCAATGAAATGTCCACCCACAGGAGAATGAATACATTTTCATAA